GGCAGGCGCGGTTAAAAACGATGAATAAACAATAAATAAATCAAAAAAACCCGCGTCCATCATGGCCTAAGCTCTATGGGCCCCAGCAGGCACCGCACGTTGGCCTCCATGAGCAAAAGTTGCCCCCATGCTTGCTCCGGAGCTTTCCCCAGGCGTGATGACAAGCCCCAGACAAGGAGGCACCCAAGAAAATCAATTTTGCTGCTGTTGCTGGTACCTCAAGGGAGAGCACAGAGAAAACAGCAAACAGGTTGAAGACGAAGATAAGGACCGCCGTATCTTCAGTGATCCACTTGAAACGGGGCAATGTGGCCAAATCAAGGTCCCTGAGGCAACATGGGACTGTAGATGGAACGGAGCTACCAGAGTTTATTATAAAGATGCAGAAAGACAAGCACCAGCAGTCTGCAAAGACCACCAGGGACCTCCAAAGGGACACAGGGCACATACACATGAGATATATTGCAATTAGTTGCAGGAAATGCAATGAATATGTATGATCATGCCATAAAAATGTAATGACCCTGAATGTAACAGGGTGATATAAGCTTTGATTAACACAACATATGGGATGCATGATAGGTGTAGAAATCCTCCATGCATATAATAAAGTAAATGCCTGCTTCCTAATGCTACATAGGTCTTAAGAGGTTTATTCTCATTTTTGGTGACAGTTTCTGGCTGTCACAGGACTTGACACTAAGGGATTCTCAGGGACAACCTCTGATCCCCAGACCAAGATGCTTTGAGCATGACTCCTGGGAAGGTAAAAACATTCCTCTCCTTAAAAACAGGATCCTTAAGAGAGGAAGTCGCCTGCCTGTAAGACGAGGTGAAAGCTTTGCAGGGTTGGGCTATAGAAGTCCATATCCAAGGGAAGGGACAGGTTCGGTCAATAGGTGGGTTGAATTCCCATTCCAAAGGTGCCCACCATTAGATGAAGCAAAAGCTGCACAGGATAGGACAGATTTGGGCACAGCAGAACAGTGTGATTCAGGTAAAAGTTCCTTTTTCATCTGCAGATTTAATGAATTGGAAAGAATCAGCTATATCCTATAAAGTCAGTAGCCAACATCAGAATAGTTAATTTTAATACATGGACTATTGTGAGAATGTCAGTCATAGGAACATCACTTAGAACAAGATGTAAGGGCTATCAATAAAAGAGTGGTTGATGTATATCCAGCAGTACCTCACTCTCCTTGATTAGTGTTGTTAACAGTATACCAACATCTCTTTTACAGTAAAAGATGCTTTCTTTTGTATCCTATGGGACGGACAAAGTCAGAAGCTGTTTGCTTTTGAAGGAGAAATTCCCACAAGAGAATGCAAAATGCAGCTGTGCCAGACCATGCTTCCTCAAGGCTTTAAGAATAGCCCCTACTCTTTAGTAACATTGGCAAATGTGGAGCAGTGTGAAGGTAAGAAGCTGAAAATTACCTTGTTACACCTGTTCACTACTCTGCCTTGTACACTGTATTCCACTCATTCACAGCTGAGATACTGCCTTACAAGAACCAGAATGGGAGTTATTTACTGATAGAAACAGTTTTGAGATAAAAGGAGAGCAGAAGGCCAGCTAGAAGAAGAAAGAGGAGCAAAGCCAGTGCCAGAAACTACAGAGGTTGATTGTTTAAATCATCAATTGATGGCTTAAATGCAGGCTCTGGCATTATGAGAAGGAACTGACTTGAAATACACCTTTGGGGTAATACATGCACATGGGGCCAGTTGGAACAGGGATTGTTATACCTGCTTCTTGCTAACACCAATGTAGTACCACACCACACTGCTGCAAAAGCTGTTTATTTCAGCTTCTGCTCATCCATATGTGCATATAAAAAGCGACTAATAGAAAATTCCAGTTACAAGAACTAAGATATTTCATAACATAGTGGGTAGTAGTGTCTTATTACACAAGCATAGGTAGGATACACATGCCCACCAACTCTCCCCCTGCTTTTCCTTTACCATATTTCCAGGTTCAACATTTAAATGAGACTTTACATCAGATAAAGCTCATATCACAACAACTCCAGCACTTCCAGCATCTGCTGCCCCTTCTGTATTTGATCTGGCCCCAGGCACCTGACTGCAGTGGCAGGTTGACTGAAGGTAGCCAGAGGACACTCTTGAGACATAGGGACAGCTGAGAAGTAGCTTCTCCTTGTCCATAGCTGTGGATTTCCCAGATTATGCAGCAGCCTCAAAAGTGACATTTCTCAGTACAGCATCAGTAGGGGACAGGTTTAAGATCTCTTCAAAGGAAGGACCTTCATCCTCTGGGGGTAGTTCTGCCTCAAACATACGCTGAAGCAGAGCATCAACTGTTCGGTACCCTGAGGGGGACAGGAAGAAAAACAGAAACAGAAAGTTATTCTAAAGCTCCATTCCTATTGCTTAACTTTTTCTGAGAAATCTCCCCCCAATGAATCTCCTACTCAAATCTTGTTTCTACTTCGTTTTACATAAAGCAGAAAAACCCACCACATCCACCAATGCCCCACCTGCCTTCCCTTTGTATTTGATCTACTTTTAAGCATCCTGAACACTTGAGAACTTATTTTAACTCTTAAAGGTCTAATCCTTTACAAGGATTCCTTGAATGGATGCATGATCTTATCAGCTGTCATAATGAGAAACATGAGGATCTGTTTCCTTAAGAGGATCTGTCTACAGGACAGCAAGAAGGTACAGCAATAATGTCAGTAGAAAGAAGTATGTGTATTATACCAGGGAATGTGACATGTAGTTACCCAGTGATCCAAGGCAGGAGGAAAGCAAAGTGCATACAGGGAGTAGAGACCAGTAGAGAACAGGCTTCTTAACAGCAGGACCTTAGCCATGAAGACAGTGTCTTTATGGAGCTGTCAAGCATGCACCAAGTACGTAGGTAGAAGGTCGGAGAGCAGGAGAGTGGAAGAGCTCTGCTACAGAAGTAAGAGAGACAACATTACAGAGCATGCAGGGCTCTCTAAATGCCTCCAGGACAGGTTTTGGCAGCTCAAACCCATGGCCAACCTTCTGCCTAGGAAGCAGAAGTGCTCTGGGAGCTTCTCCCAAGACAGAATGGCTGCCAGGCACAGTTCAGTGTTCTGGCCTCTTTTAAAGCAGCTATGGAACAGGCCAGCAGCAGTTACCACTTCCAGAAGTCTTCAGGGTCACACTTACGTTTGGAGGCAATTTTAAACACCAGCCCCTTAGCTTGTGGCTTTGTTCCACCTTCTCCCTCAAGGTCATGTTCAGCACTCTCCATGTTATCAACCAGTTTTTCATCCTGGAGCTCATCCCTACACAAGAAAGAGAACCAGATGTTATTCCAGGGGAGGGCCGCATGTGCACAGCAGCAGTGGATCCTCTCAGATAGGAGAAGCACTGCAGTGACCCTGCAGGTCTCCATCACCTCTCCAGTATCCTGGAGAACAGCCCTGGGCTGGAAGACCATACCAAGGCAGGCTCTGAACTCAACTTCCACCTGCAAGAACAAGGTAAGTGACTCTGCTACCACCTAGTAGTTTCATCATGGTTACATCTGATGTGCCAAGCCAGCCGTATCCATCTTCACTCTCTAAGGGACTTACTCTTGGATTCCCATTCCCAGTTCCTGGATTTTCTGTTCAATGGCTGTTTCCACTTCACTCTTCTCTAGTGAATACTCCACAAAGAAAGCCTCCAAGATGAATGACACAAAGATGCTGAAAGAAAGAAAGAAACAGCAGGATTACATAGCAGCACTGCATCACTAGCATCCCCTATGCTTATGGGCATGCCAATTTCACAACCCAGCACTGGGGACCCAGGGCTCATAGTAATGTCTGCTAGAGACAGGGAGCTGTCAGCACTTGATGCAGAAAAGAACAGATGCAACAGGCTCTACTACACTAACAAATCACAGAATCCCAGGATGGTTGAGGTTGGAAGGGGCCTCTGGAGATCATCCGGTCCAACCCCCTGCTCCAGCAGGGACACCCAGAGCACAGGGTGGCATCCAGGCGGGTTGGAAGATCTCCAGAGAAGGAGCCTCCA